ACTTGCTGACCAGCTGGCACGAGGCCGGGCTGCGCACGGTCGAGGACCTACAGCGGCACGGCGCGCAGGTCGCCGAGCAGCTGAGCAAGGCGTGGCCGATGACGCCGCCGCTGACGCTGCAGGCCACGAAAAGTGAAAACTTGCTGCTCTGGTTGAAGGCGCGGCTGCAGCTCGGCGAGGACGAGTTCGCCGCGTTCAGCGACGAGCTGAAGCAGCGCATAGCCGGCGATGAGAGCTTCACGCTCGAAGTCGAGCAGACGACAGAGGAGAAAGCGGAAGAAGAGTTGTGAATTTGCAATGCGGCTAGTCTTTCTGCGTGACCACGCGGCCGCCGCGCACGAGACCGGTGCGGCGCGCAGCGATGAGGCCGACCTTTTGGCCCGGCGGCGCGTGACGGCTGACGGTGCTCGCGTGCCCGATGTGCTGGTGGTTGCCGCCGCCGTGCGGGTGGTCCACGGGGTTCATCGCGACGCCGCGCACCTTCGGCCAGACGGCGCTGCGCTTGGCCTTGTGCTTGTGGTACGAGGCGCCCGCCTTCATCAGCGGCTTGTCGGTCACGCCGCCGCCCGCGACGAGCCCAACCTGCGCGCGGCAGTTCGAGCTGACCGTCTTGCGGATGCCTGACGGCAGGCGCACGCGCGTCTTCGAGCCGTCCTCGCTGTGCGCAATGACGATGCCGTAGGTGCCGCAGGCGCGCGCGATGCGGCCGCCGTCGCTCTCGCGGCGCTCAATGTTGCACACGATTGAGCCCTCCGGCAGCCGGCCGATCGGCAGCACGTTGCCCACGTCGATGCGCGCCTTTCTGCCGCAGTACACGAACTGCCCGGAGTGCATGCCTTCGGTGGCGAGAAACAGCGCCTTTTGCTTGCCGTGCGCGATCGGGTTCTTGAACTCGACGCGCGCCAGTGGCGCGTTGCGCCCGCTGTCGTGCACGATGTCGGTCACCACACCTTGGATGTAGCCCTTGCGCTCGATGTTGTCCAGCGAGCGCAGCGCGGCCGGCCCTTTGCGCTTGTGCGTGCTTGCGGTGAAAATCGACCCGGCGCCACGGCGCTGTCCTCGGATGACTCGACCCATAGCCCTTCTACAGAATTTACAAATTTAAAATTAGGTACGTTACGTCACGGGGCGAATTGTCTACTCGGCCGCTGCGCCGGCGAGCACGCACTGGCCGCCCGCCGCTTCGATCTTTTCGACAGCCAGCTTTGAGAACTCGCGCGCCTTCACCACGAACGCGCGCGTCAGCTGCGCGCCGTTTCCGAGCACCTTGAAGTATCCGGCCTTCGTCACGTCGATCACGGGCACGCCCTTGCTCGCCTGCACGGCTTGGCGCTCCGCTTTGCTGAGGATGCTGCAAAGCTCGCCGACGTTGATTGTGGGCGTGTAGTGGCGGTTCGCCACGCGGTTGAACTGCCGCATGCCGCACTTGCCGAAGTAGCCCGGGTGGTACTTTAAGGTGTTGATGCGGTGGTGGGTCAGCGAGCCCGACATGCCGCGGCCGCCCGGGTGCTTGCGGTGCTTGCCGACGCGCCCGTGACCGGCAGACACGTGCCCGCGCTTGCTGCGGTTTTTCTTGAACCTGGTTGGCATATTTCCGAGAATTAAATTTTGCGACAGAACAGTTGGCGGACCAGCGCACGCTTTCGCCTCGCTACTGCGGCGCCAGAGCCGCAACGAGGCACGGCGGCAAGCTGCGCCGGCACCCGTTTTGCAAACAGCTGAACTCGTGCACCAGACGTGCGCCCGCGTAGCGCCGCGTGCGCAGCAGTTCGCGCTCGCCGTTCACGCCGAGCCACGGATTTTGCATAACTATCTTGACCTCCCCGCCCGTCCGCGGCGCGCAACGCTCCGGACATGCCGCTGCTTCGGCCGCCGCGTGCGAGCGCGGCTTGTGCGTCGCGGCGCCGCCGCCGCCGCACCGCGGCCTGCAGCGTCGCTGCAATGCCTGCGCGAGCGACTTCAGCTGTGCCGCGCAAACTCGGCTGAATTGCAGCAGTGCGCTGCGCACAGGCACGGCGCCGCGCGCAGCGCGCCTTTCGCTTCTCTCAGTGCTCGCGGATACGCTGCTGCGCCGCAAACCGTCGCTCTGCGCGGCGCGCTCCGGTACAACTGCTAGGGTTGCTTTGTTTCCAGGCTGCCTGCTGCAGCCCGCAAAGCTGGCTGCCGCACGACGCGTCGTGCGCGGCTTCTGCGCTGACGCTCGTTCTTGCCTTGAGCAGCGGCGCGTCTCATCTGACCGCGCAGTGCCACTTCTGCTGCGGTGCGGTTTTGGGAGCGCGCTACGAGCGCCATAGTGTGCAAGCTGCGTCGCGTGAGAATCGCAAGCGCTCGCGTTCGCGCCGCAGTCGTCAAAGTACGAGTTGCGCAGCTCCTGACGATAGTCTAGCAGAGTGGCTACGGGCCGCAACGAGCCGGTCGTTGCGCAGTCTACTTCCGCAGAGCGCGGCTCACCCGCGGCCTTTCTGACGGCGCTCAGCAGGCGCGGGGTCGCGCGGTCGTCGAACGCGCCGTTGGTGAACGTGTAGAGCTTTTCATCGCTCGCCGTGCAGCACGTCTCTTGACCGCTGCCGCTCATAACTGCCTCGATCTTGTTCGGGATGCGCGAATGAGCGAGAGAAGCGCTAGTCGCGAGATGCAGTGCGAAGGCGGCGACGCTGCCTGAGGCACAACCCGGATGCGCAGCTGTCGAGGAAACGCGCTGTCTATAGCGCAGTGCGGTACGACTATCCGCTGTGCGACCATCTGCTGTGCGACTATCTGCTGTGCGACGCTTTGCCAATTTCTCCGCAAAACGGGTCTCACTGATGTTGTAGAGTTTCAGCAGTTCGCGGCCTCTCGGCCGGCGCTTGGCAGCAGGACGCTGCGAATCTAACGCGACGTGCAACAGTTCAGCTTTGCAGTACAGACGCAGCAACCGTCTGAGTCGCTGCCGCAGCACGTGGCTCGAGACTGCCGCGCCAATGGTTTTGTAGGCCTGTGCAAGCGCCGCAAAGCGGCGCCGGGCTGCAAAAGCACGGAACTGCGACTGAAGTACCAGAACTGCGCTCGACCGAGCGCGCAGCACCTGATCCTGCAGCTGAGCCACTTCGTTGCCCGTCAAGGTTACGCTTCGGCGAAAGCAGTTTTTGAATTGATCCAAGTGTCGCGCGTTGCTCACGTACATGCGCTGTTCGCGGAGAGACAGCCGCTGCGCAAAGGAAGGAAATATTTCAGCGAACTCGCGGCAAAAAGCGCCGTAATCGTAGCTTCTTAACGTCGCCGAAGACTTTTGCACCTCCAGGTCTATGACATAGTGCAGCAACTTTGCGCAAGGCGTGTGTTTCAGGTGTTCGTAAATCTGCAGCTGCAGGATGCGGCGCGGAAGCAATATTATTTTGTTCATTGCAAGCCCGCTACTGTCCGAGCAACCTGCGGACTCGCCGTAGTAGGTACAGAGGCCGCGCGCAATCCGCGAGCTGCGCTGCCCGCACTTACGCGCATGAAGCGAGGATGTTTCTATTTGTAACAACTCAGCCGCCTTTCTAACTAAAATCTTTACTGCTGCAGTTATAGAATACAGCAGCGAGCAGCTGGCGATGCTTGGGATCGGAACGTGTCCTACACACGATTTGCAGTCGCAGTATGAGTTGCGTTCGAGTTGTTGCACCAGCTTTGAAATCTTCTTGGCAGCGTATCGAGCATCGTTCCGCATTGTGCGCGATCCAGCTGAACAGGAACCGCAAAGCAGCGCAGCTGCATGCGATTCGAGTTCTGTTGCCGCTCGTAAATCCGCACGCATTCGAAGTACGGCATCACTCTGAGGGAAGATGCGAGCAGGTCTAGAATCGGATCGCACCTCGCTTTTCGACGGGTTCGTGCTGCCTATATGTGGTTCAGCGAGTTGACGCGAACTACTCGGTTGCTTATCGTTAGCCATAGCGTAACTGACGATTGCACTCTGCAGCAGTGAGACATTCTCCTCATTGCACGGCGACAGAGAAACTGAAAGCAAACCGTTTTCCTGACGAAATTCGATTAGCGGCAGCAAGTGTTGTTCTGAGCAGCGCGAGATGCAGTGCATTGCCGTACTTTGACCTCCGCTCGCCAAGTCCGTTGTACGCTGCAAAGGACTTGTCATGACTTTTAGTACGAACAGATTAAGAAGTTCGAACAGTTTGTCGCATACGCTCATGGCGAAGTACTTCACGCACAAAGATGCTGCGGCTACCTGTTGACAGGACACTTTGCTCTCGCTCAAAGTTTTGACGATCCGCTTAGCAAAGCGTTTCGCCCTCAGTCCAAGCAAAGAGCAAATCTTTTTGTACGTATCGGCAAATAACTCGTAGTGCGCCAGATTCTTGACGTAATATCGATCTTCGAGCGCGAAACGCCGCATGATACTCCAGTATGCTGCCAGCAGCGCAGCACCGCGCGCTTCAGTTTGAGAAGCGCTGCACTTCTGTGCTGCAAAGATTTGTCTCAATACGTTAAGCAAATCGACTTCTGCGTCACACTTTCGCGATACATTGTTTTGCTGCGATTCGCGCGAATAGTTGCGCAAAAACGGTGTGCTAGGGTGAGCTAATTCATCTCCAGCAAGAAGTGCGAGGCTGCTGAGTAAGTCTGAATGCGGAGTTGCGAGCGCGCCTCTCGTAAGTCTGCTGACTACTTCTCGTGTATCGCAGCTCGCCTCGCTGTGTCCTGTTTTGGAGCTGGCGGCCAAATGAAATTGCATCGTTGTGGCGTTGTAGAGCAGAAGATAGTTCGACGGCCCAGTAGCACCTGCGTCTTTCCGTACGTGTCGCAACACCGTTAGTTTGTTCCACACATCAATAAACGAAACCGGGATATTTTCGCTTGCAATGGGAGAAGTGATTTTAAGGCGCTTGGCAAGTTTCGAAGCCAGCGTTAGCGGGTTTGTGCTAAAAACGCTTGGATCCATTATTAAGCAGGTACCTCTGTTGCGCTGTAATAGAAATTGCTCGCCGGGATGATCAATTTGCCGTTGATCAAGTCGCAGGTCGAGTGCGTTCTCATCCTCGATGATAAAGCAAGCTTCTCCCACTCGAAGAGATAACACACTAATGGCGCCTTCCTTCAGCTTACGTAGAATCGGCAGAAGATGTAGATAATCGACAGAGGCACGCTGCTTGTGCAAATCAATTAGACCGATTTGTGTGGAATTCAATTCATCCGTGCACAACGTAGCCGAATCAGAGCCTGCGAATCTATTGTAGCTGAGCGCGCGCTGCGGCGAGCTATGTTCTACCGTTGTTTCTCGCAGCAAAACTTGGCACATAGCGCGGTGCGCATCGTGAGGATCACGAAGGTCTGAAACAGCGGAATCAGGAACTCGCGGCACGAACAATGGACGTACCGCCGTGTTAATTACGTGTAGCTATGCATAAAAAGCAGATTTCCCGCACATTCCACAGAAAACCCGTAACGCACCGGATTAAGTCTATAATTTGTGAAATTTACTGATGCGCCGCTTGCAGTCTAATGCAGGACGCAACTGACACGGCGCACCCCCCGACGGGTGCGGAGCAGTCGGGCGGGTATGGCGACGCAAAAAAACTGCCAACCAACACGGAGGTAAACGTGCACCTGGCTTTTGACCCCCTGTTTTACAAAGATCCGAAGTCCATTTGGCAGAACATTGCATTGCCCACCGTCGTCAATCTTCCTGAAACCGCCGCCGAGTCTGGCCCAGATAACGGAATTCACTTTCATTTTCAATACGTTTCCCGCTTATCAGCTTTTTTCTGCGACAGATACGGCGTAGTAGCGCCGCTCCCCACGCTGGTGAGGCGTCTGCGAAATTACGTTAAGTCGAACAAGCTGAACTGGGAGCAAGAATGGATCAAACTGTTCGAAGAACACCGCAATTCCGGCGCGTTTTTTCGACATAAAGCCAAAGAGGAAGCCGTGCGGAAACGCGCAAAGATGCTCGAGCAGCTTGCCTCGCAGTAGACGCGGACGCGTCGGTGCTCACTGAATAATAGTGGCGGTGGATGTGTCGTTGACCGCGCAAATTCTTGGAATTAACATTTTTCGGCAAATCTTTTCCGTACGCAAGCCGCTTCAACTCTGCCTAT